GAACGGAGAACATAAACGTCATGCTGGCAACGTACTAGGGGGAGGGCAAGAAAATTAAAAGAAAGAGTTTACCTGCTCTTCAGTAATGATAATTTCCTTTCTTTTCAAGGCCCGTCTGATTTGCTTGGTATCCAGATAATGAAGGTGTTTTTAAAATATTAAATAGCAGCACGACCATAGCGACAAACAACTGATATTGACAGGTGCAGGAATTGAACTCTCAGTTGTAGACCTGGATTAGCCTGTGAGTAAGCTCTCCGGGGCGCTCTGGCGGCGGGGCGGGAAAAGGAAGGAGGGCTTGTAACTACAGGTACGTCCACAGGGCGCAAAAGGAGTTATTTGTGAGTTATTGTTAAATTTTACGGTTGATACCACGCATCGCCTTTGTTTTTATACTGTAAAATCGAGCAAACCGTCATTTGATCAACTTATAAACCTGGTCAGTATAGTATCCAATTCTCCGGGAAAACCGCTGAAGGTAATGACTGCGGACGAATAATAGCGACGCACTTCGTGCCTCGCTTGGAAAGCTTCGCTTTCCAAATGCGTCGCCCTCCCAGCGACGTTCGTTCCAACCGAGCATTTAATAAGTAATATTTTACCAGGTTTGTAAAACGATCGCATGACGGTTCAATAAGTCAAGTTCATAGTCGATTCTACGTAAACAGAGGCGACTCGTACGATCGGCTGTAAAATTTTCTCTTCGCTTGCCATGACAAGTAACTCCTCTGCGCCCTGTGGTATGTCTCTGGAATTAGAATATCTGCATCGAAAACGTTGATGCGAAATGCTGACTGGCGCAGGTGACATCAGTTATGACGTCATTACCCTTAGCACATATTTTTCTACTTTTTTTTTATATTCGCACTCGTTTACGCTTCGCACTGATTCGCAGAAATCTGACAACTCAAATATATTTCAAGAAATTTGCCAAATACCTCGTTTTGACTTAGATCTGTCGTTAAAAAAAGCGACATAAAAAGTGATGTAACGTCCACCATCAAAGAAAACACAACGTCACGAGAGAACGAAAAGGACTGAACCTGACTACTTCCGGTGCTAAGTTTTCCACTATGACCACAGTTTGGTGCAGTGTAAACAGGTGTTCATACTATATTGGATAGCTTTTCATGTCAACATGAAAAACTCGCCGTTATAGTGTCAACATGGCCAAAAAATATTTTACCAGTGTCACATATTAGCTGTAAAGCTGAATACCTTGACACTTGAACAAAGTTTTTATTATCATTTACACTATTTTTATTATTGTTATTACGTGAGGGCTAATTACTTATTTAATGAAACACTAACTTACTAACCGGATGACTGACGAACAGACCAACTAACCGGATGGAAGGACAACCCAACTAATCGATTTATTACAAACTAAATGACTAAACGACTGAATAACTAAATGACTGACGGAATGGATGACCAACTGACTGACTGACTGATTGAAGGACTGACTGAATACTTGAACGTGTAACCTGACTGAATGACTTACTGATAAACTGAGGACAATTGACGGACTGACTGACTAGTCGAATGACTTACATTAAACTTTGTAGTTGACCGGATGATTGACTGATTTACTAAAAAACTGACTGACTGAATAACTAATCGAATGATTTACTGGCTAACTGGCCAGTTGTTTGGATGACTGACTGACTTACTAACTGACTGACTAACTAATCGAATGATTTACTGGATAACTGACTAATTGTTTGGATGACTGACTGACTTACCAAATAATTGAATGACTTACTGACTACTTGACTAACTAATTGAATAACGTACTGACTAACTGATTAAAAGAATGGATAACTAACTGACTTACTGGAAGATTGAATGACCCGCCTGACTAAATTTTTAACTACCGGTAACTGACTGACGGACAGACAATGAACTGAACGACTGTGGGACTGACTGGAGGACTAACGGACTCAAGAACTGAGTAACTGAAAACTGACTGAGGAACTTACTGAAAAGTATCTGAAACAGTACTTAAGAACTACTGAACAAAAAACTTAACTAAGCAGGTTACTACTTTTGTGATCACCTAGTTACAGAACTAAGGGCGGTTTCCAAAATTCAGAACTGGCCGGCTGGACCATGGCCAGACCAGTCATTTTGACAATGAAATAGGCTTCTTGGAAGATTTTTTGCGGAAAAACCATCTCTTTCGTGGATACTACCTATTTTGGATTTGACTGATTTGGCTGGAAAGTTTTAATAAAAAATGAAATTCTCATTACAACGGGAATGGTCTGGCCAGTCAAATCTAACGAGTGGAAAGCGCCCTAAGTAAACTAAGTTGCTAAATTAACTTTAGCACACAGAATCGCTTAGAGTGAACTTGACATATAAGTTAACTAACGATGAGACAAATTAATTACCTACATTCGTACATGAATTTATCACCTAGTTTGAAACAATCGCTTACGGTAATCAAAAACCTGCGAGGATCACATCCACATTAATTTGTAAAAACCCTCCAACTTACTAAGCACAGAAATGGGCAACTGACAGCCTTACTGAACTACTTAAGGTGTTGTTGTTTTTTTAATTCAGAGTTGCTTCTAAAGATGTATGTTGTAGCATACAAAACGTCAGGTTCAGGAAGAATATAATTTTTCCAGCAATGCGGTTTTCCACATGTTTGTAACCGCCGTTTGCTTGTTATTTCTTACACGAGGTGTAATCTGTTTTTTACGAACGTGAAGCTCGTGTACGTGTCCCAGCACAAGCCTGTTACTGCAGATCATTACGTCATAGTGACGTGGAGGACTGTTGGTCATGTCTATGTATGTCTCAAAGCGGTTTGCAGCACCATGGAGAATCACGCGATCACCCCATGTATTATCTGTCACGAAGCTTGTGAGGTTGGCATCCCAAGATGAAAATCCACCATCAAAATGGAAGAGCTCTGCCCCATCAGGCTAAAACACAAGGAATAACTATGTTACTAAAAAAGTAACCGTTCTTATTTAATTCTTTTTCTCTCTCATGAGGCGCAAATCTAAGGTGGTACTTATACCAGCATTAATTTAAACACACTTTTATAATCACAGCTAGATTTTTTTCCTACAAACCACTCGCCTGTTCCAGGCGTTCAGATTGTAAGGACAGCGCAGAGAGATGTGAGAAGGAAAAACATCGAGGGGGTGGGGTAGAGGGTTCCCTCCTCTCTCCCTCTTCCTCTCTTTCTCCTTATTTTTTTCCGCTCTCTCACTTCGCGCAGCACTCCAATATCTGAACACCTGAAACAGGCTAACCACTCACCTGGAACAGGCTAACCACTCGCTGTCACTGCTTACATTAAGGTCACATGACCTAACAATGAAACTGTTTATCGCCAAAAATCTGTTAGCTTAAGCAACGGCAACGGCAGCGAAAACGTCAGTTAAAAAGTGAACTCTTGCTTTTTCAAACTTCATTCATCTTATCCCATTTCATTTAATTTGTCAAATGTTGGGGAATTTTTCAGGAGTTAATTCTAAAAGGATTGTATCTAAGATCAGAAAAAGAAAAAGAAAATTGTTGTCTTGTGTTCACGTCCTCTATAAAACGTGAAACCAGACGGTTTCACGTTGTAGTCGTGCAACAACGGCAAAGAAATGTACAAAAAGCGTGATGCACGTGCAAAGTCGTTGTTTTGCTAATCTAAAACCTATTGCTTTTTTGTCGTTCTCGTTGCCGTCCCCGTCGTCGTTGCTTAAGCTCCCTAATATTGCAAACTCTATGACGTCAGCGGCCAACAGAACACCTGTTCTCTCGACATTGACCGCGTCTTTGTTTTAATATTGGATCTTATTAAGTCCCAGTTCTATCTGTGATTACGTCCCAGGAAACACAAGAGATCAGTTTATGCAATAAAGACGGCGTCACCGACGAAAACATCACTGAAAACACAGAAAAAAAAACAAGTTGTGCCGGGAAAACAATTCTTTCACGAACAAGGTTTTAAAGCCTTGAATAAATCAGTGTCAAGAACTGAGATCAAGGCAAATTAGTATTAACATACTTCACTAACCAGCAGAGTCGTTGTCTTCAAAATGTTTTAAAACGCTGCCTTCCTCAGGTCTTCGTGGGTGAGTTGCTTTGATGAAGTCATATATTTTGAAAACGGAATAAACACACAGTTTTTTGATCCTCCATCGTCAGAAACCACGAAGTCTCTTTACAAAGATGATTCAAATTCATTGCTCAGTTTTGCTGGTCAGTTTTCCAGTTCCTTCTGCCGAAATCGATAGTAAAAGAAAAAGGAAAGTACAACAAGAGTGTGTAAGTTTGATTGCACAACTAATAGCCTGATTCTCAGACGTCCGAGGTCGTTCGCGGTCCCTTTCGCTTCCCTACCTCGGACGTCTGAGAATCAGGCTACACAACTAATCAGCACATAATAGTATGGTTTAACAAAATGAAAAGCCAAGTCAGAGAAACCACTGCAGTGTCCTCCATTTTTCTTCCCCCTGTCACCCCATCCAGATTATGACGGCTTTGCAGCCACGCAGAAGAGAGCCAAAGAGGGAAGCGAGTAAGGGAAAGAAAGGCCTGGCGAAAAGGCATTAGGCTCTTCCACCTTTACACAGCTTGATTCAATATCATCCAATCAACATCATTTCAAGTCACGCAGTTATTCTTCCATCTCTCCCCCTCTACCCCGATCGTCTTTTCAAATCCCCTCTCCCCAACCTGAGACTAAGGTTAGCGGGCTTAGTCGCTCACTCCTCGCTGAATGATTTTTTCCTTTAAAAGAAATTGAGAAAAAGTACCTCATGATCCTCTTATTCTCCCCTCCAAACTTTACTACTACTAAACTTTACTTGACACGAAATGAAAGTGGATGAAACGTTAAACCCAATGCAATTCCAGGTCAAAGCATCCAAAGGTATGTACCACTGAAAATTGTTAAAGGCCAGGGATTCCTTTAAATACTCAATATCCGGCTGTAGTTGTTCTATAATGCAAACAAATGCAAACAAAATGGTAAAATACCTTTTTCGCTGACAACAAAACTCTTGCGCTAAGTCTCTACGTTCTACGTCAGACAGTGCTTCGTGCAAAACACGGTAAGTTGCATCTGAGGCTTCCCTTCTTTTCCAAGCAATCAGTAATTTGTATGCTTTTTCAGAAAGTTTATCATTGTGTTTGTCATGTTCTGTTATCTGTGCTTCATCGAACTGTAGCCGACGACCAAGGTTTTTCCACTTGTCACTGATTTTTCCGGACAGACATTCCAGTTCACCTAGTGTTGGACTGCCATCTTTGATTTCTGTGAAAGGAAAACGATCGAGATACTAAGCGATCGATATCTCCATCGCCATCTTCAGACCGACCGAGAGAGAATAATGAGACAGAGGGGAAATATTAGGGCACTGTTCGGGATATGTGAATTTTACTTAAGTTATTTTTACAGTCAAAGTCTAATTCCTCGGACGTCCGCAGATTTTAATCGCTTGTTTGAAATATCATCAAGTCCTCGCGTTACTGCCTCAAAGCAAAAAATGCAGCATATTGTAATGGCGACTGCTTAATTCTCTCCTGACAACACTGAATAAACGTTTTCGACTCCAGAAACCAACTTCCGATTAATTCAAGCGTATAATGGGTCTAAAAATACCTTTGGTGAATTCACATCAGCCCCCAAGGGCGAAACTGGGTTTCTCCCTCTCTCTTCAATTATTCTTTCTTGAACGCACGGAATTCGCCACTTTGAGGTTGCGCGGGAGACCGGGTCGAGATGGTTTCAAAGTGCATTGCGGGCCTTTTTTGGGGGTACACATTTTCAACATGGCGGCAAATTTGTCCCCCAAAATGGTCCCACAATGCACTTTGACAATCATCTCGACCCGGTCTCCCGCGCAACCTCAAAATGGCGAACACGGCATGCACACAAATGAGACATTCAGAACAAACGAAGAGCAATACGGACCCTACCCAATAAAAGAACGACGTTTCCACTGCTGCTCTTCTTCATACGGTGGTATTTATTGATTGTGCCGGATTATTAGTAAGCTAGCGCCATAGGATGGCTGTTAGTGAATGGTGGTTTCACGGTTGGTGGACTTCGATGTCTCAACTGCATAGACTTCACTGACCGTCTAAACCGAAGATTGACTGGCAAGCTTCTAAAGACCCTTGAGAGCAGCGAAAAAACTCGAGCGGACATCCCTTGCTTTAAAGCTTACAAGTTCTGATAATGCCGGAGTCACAAGCTAGCCATTGCAGACACAGTTTATTGAGGATCATAGGGCAATATCTTCTAAAACCTAGACTGGATAAAATTTGAGGAAAAGAAGTGGGTAAACTGAAAACTTACCAGGCTGTCGCGCAAGCTTCCTCAAATTCTGATCTGCCTGAAGAGACATAAAAGGTAGAAAATTATAATTATTAAATAGCATACAAACGCCTTGATTGCGAATCGGGGTCAGGAAGACTCGTTATCACGAGGAACTAATAGGTTTTACAGATCTGGGTAGTGCTTCTTATTGGATGGAAATTTGCTTCAACCGATCAGAAACACTACCCACTGATCTTGGTAAAAACACGTCATCAGTATGGCGTACTGCATCAGTACACTCGTTTCTCTGACGTCATTTCGCGGGTAAACCAGTGGTGACGTCGCGAAATGTCGTCAGTTTTCTCAAAATACCCACTGGAAATGTTAATATTTTTATTAGTAATTAAGACGAAAGTCTTGATTGGCTTTCAAATGGCATGATTTTAATTTTAATACCTGCAACAATTTGAGTAAACTTTCTCATTGCTTGGACAGGCAAAAGTTCTACAGGAAACAACTTATAACTACAGCGTATCTTGAGCAATCTGATCGTTCACTCTCTTAAGTTGCAATACAAAGGGCTGGTTATTAAAACGAAGTCTTACTTAGGCCGCGGTTTAAGAAATCATGGAATCTCCAGATAAATGCTTTTCTAGTCTACACTATATGCTTTCATGAAATTATTAACGATAAACGGTGTTTAGATGTAATAGCCGGTTTGGCAAACTGATGACATGATTTAGAACGTGGTACTGGTGGATTTGTTAAACATAAGCTAAACTCCGTTAAATACTCGACCTAGAATTATTCAACTGATAGGAGGTTTGAACGGATGAAATGCTCAAGCTTAAAATAATAAGTTATACTTACCGTGCGGGACATTTTGCGGGACGGCAAAGTTAAGTGAAACTTACACAACAGACGCGTTCTGTCTGTGTGTATCGAGGTGTTTCGAAATTCCACTTGCGCTAGGTCTTCGTCATCAACGAGAAGAACTCGCAATTCAGTCTTAAACGGAATATCGTCTTTTAATAACCTGTTTAAACGTAAGAGAGAAACATGCATGATGTAGTGCCGACGTAATCCTTCGCTTACTATTAGACAGAACTGTCCAGTCACCGGAGAGAATTCAGCTATTAATCATGACTGTTTAGATCGGTCTGTTCTTAAAAAGCATGGACAGTGATGGATGTTCCGCCATTTTGTACTGATCTACCAACACAACTCAAACTCTTATCAGGACTTTTCGGCCGCAGTCCATTTTAATGGCGTTAAGCTGCACTATTGACGTCATTTTCTGGATATTGTAAACGTCTTCCAAATTTGGTCAACTCTAGTTGGTTTTCAAGAATTAGTCTTGGGATTTGAGCCAAGCAGAAACGGGAAAATCTTTTGAATAAGCAATAAATAAGCTTACTTGAGAAAAATTCTTTTTAGGTCCTCCTCGTCAAATGGGCGCATTCCTCCTGACAAAAACACAAATGCTCTGTCCTCTCCAGGTATCATATCTTCCATCGAACTGCCATCAGCTAAAGTTACGTCTCTTTTTTCAAGATCTTGTATCACCTCTTGTTTAAGGTGAGCAGGGCAACAAATAAGGAACAAAATGTTTGGAGTATCTGGACGAAAGTAAGCGACGAAACTTGCTGCTCGGGGCTGCGTTCTAGTGAAGCTGGTAAGGTAATTTAGGATTCCCAGTCCATAAGCTCTGGAGTTTTCTTCACGCCGCTCAAAAAGAAACGAATATCTAGAATCAAAAAATCGAAAAATGTAAACCAGGGTGAATGGATTTGCTGCGAGCTTAAAATGGGAAAGGTCGAGTCTTGGATTATTCTACGTTAATCGCCGAGCCCTAGAAAAAGGAAAACCGGAAACTGAAAAGGAAAAACGTTCTTTCGTGCTTTTTGAGTTGATATTTTTTGCTAACCACCTGAAAGGGAGGCAGCGTGGTAGCTAAAATCGCCTCGCATGGGTATTGTTAAAAAATTTGAATCAGAGATGCTTTGAAAGAAGTACTGGCATTTTTGTTAATTACTTGGACGCATTTCAGGAACCTAAAGGTGCGTTTAGGCCGACCCACCAACTGGATCCAACGAAGTTGGATGATGTTAAGCAGTGATACTGCTTAACATCATCCAACTTCGTTGAATAGGGCCTAGTAGAAAGAATGAATTCTGAGCTAATTATTTACAAGAAATGTGAAGTGCAAGTGAAAAGGTATTACTTACTAAACAGTAATCAGGGTCTGGAAGGGTATTTTCGGGATCCGGGATTTGACCAAAATGGTTCGCGGGATTTGGGAAAACGCACAATATCTTGAAGGGAAAAGGGATTTGACTGCTACTCAGGGAGCGGGATTCATCAAAATTTGGGCGCGGGATGCGAGATTTTAGCTGTCTGTCGGGAATTCGGGAAATGGTACGTTCTAGCAGTGAATGCGAAACAGCTTGCGAGTGTTCAGTGGTGTGTCCTATCAAAGCAAACTATAAATGCCTTCAAGAAATCAACAGAGCGGACAGAAGACCCACTGTTTCAACCGGATGCCAAGAGAGTGCACTTGGTTCTAGCATACCATTAATTGTTCAAGCTTTTTACATTTATTGTAAATCTTATGAAGAAATTATTTGATTAGTTAAAACTTAAGATATGGCGAACAGTACAATGATCCCAGCTCTGTCCCCTTGAATCAGACAGTCATAGTTTTGGTCATTCCTCTATTCTTGCAGTCACAGACGACGGCTCCAGTCGTTCAAAGGCCCAAAGGGAGGGAGTCAAGATCAGGGCTGGGAAAGAGAGTGGGAAGAAACCCTCCCCTCTCCTCTCCCTCTTCGCTTCTTCCTCTCCTGTTTTCCCTCCGCTTCATCACACTAAGGTATAATTCAAAATATCAATCGAAAGGGCCAATGTACATCTTACACTTATTCGCTTTTGCAACAATAAGACTTTTGTAACTTGTGTATTTTCGAAAAAAAATGGATTGGGGAAAGCGATGAAAAAAGTGCGGGATGCGAGATTTTCGTGGAAAAGGAAAGGCAATGCGAGATCAGCACCCCCTCTCCACCCATGCCCCCCCCTTCCAGACCATGAATGATGCAAACAAAGTTTAATTGAGCGTTCGCCTATTCAACATTGAGGCCATCGCACACCTGAACAAAAGAATTGTCTGACACTGTTGAATGTTAAGTTTGAACGTTCAAACCAGATCTAGCAACATCAGCACCATTCAACATGGTGTTTAAACAGCTCCAAAAATGTCGCATCCAGTAACGTTGACTGAAGTTTAATCAACATTTTGGATTGAAAAGGGTTAAACTGTCCATCTACCTGGTAAATACTAAATATATTAAAGATTTTTGTAAGCTTCTTTACCCAGAAAATCGTTGGACTTGCATCCTAACAAAATTCCCTTCAAACAGTGCAGGTTTCACCAGATGAGTGAGTTCAATCCATTCCTTTTTTTTCTCTTCGCAATTCAGGAACAAGACTCTCACATGGCATTTAGTGGGATCTGGATTAAAGTCTTGCTGGTCTCGAAGAGAAACGGGAAGCTGAATGGTTACAGGCCTTAAGAACCGGACAACCTCAAAGCATTTAATTCGCAGAATAGGTCCAAAAAATACACCATCCTCTTCAAATCCTTCATTTGGAACCTCTTGCACCTGTACCATTTAAAAGAGTAATCATAAGCAGTTAATTTAATTCTATTCTTTTAGGGTTAAAATTGACGTGGATTCCCCAGTTAAATAAAACGTTAACGTAATTCAAGTAACAAAAAGATCTCTCCAAGTATTCAGTAAACGATTTTTCAGTCAAGCCCTCTAGACTGGTCATTATTAGATCGTCATTTATAAGAAACTGTTGCACTTTAAAAAGCCTTGGGGCTGATTTTATTTGCCCGCATCTCAATACTGTCTTTATGTTAAGTATTGGACTCTGACCAATGGTTGTATAATACCTAGTAACGATTGTCAATCTTCGAATGTGCACGACATAGGTTTGCCCTTATAGCCCACGACATGTCATCGTTTGTATCAGTCATTCTTAGCTAGCAGAACCGCCTTTGTATTTTGATATCAAAAATGCCTCCGAAAACGAAAAGTTCTGAAAAGCTAAGCAAACACTCTTCCCCCGAGAGTTCCTGGCTTTCTAAATTTTGCCGTGGTCAGGACATTCCTGATGATATCAAAGACGTCCTGGTTGAGTACAAAATCACATCAAAACAAGTCTTTGCCTCAATCACCGAGCAGGACTTGGCCGACATGGGCTTCGTTGTCGGCCAAAAAATCATGCTTCGGCGAGTGCTTTACCTACTCCGACAGGACGGTGAGGGACCTCAAGCGGACACCGCCAATGCCGCTCTCAGTGCTTCTGCAAAGGATCTTCTGCCTCTATTCAATTTGGCAGAGGAAATTTCTAAGCTGGAAGCGGAATTTCAAGTCCCCCAATCGACGCAGGAAAATAAGGCATCAGAGACAGCCACCTTAGCTACCACTTCTGCTGCATCTGGTTCTGCTACTTCTGCCGCTTCTGGTTCTCAAGCTGCCTTATCTTCTCCGGCTTCTCCCAGTACCAATTCTTCACCGGAAGGTAAGCCTTTGTTGCCTTCAGACTTTGTTTTTGGCCCTGACGGTAAACAGCTCAAACCGTTACCACTGTCTTATTCGCAATTTATTCTCGCGAATATTAAGATTCTTGAGTCTCTTTTTACTATAAAGAGTCCTCGCGAAGCTGCTGATTACCTCACCTACTTGAAGTTTTTGGCTATAAAAGGCACTCGTTTTCAAACCAAGGCCATCCTTGCATTTGATCAAGATTACAGTGCCACGAAGGCGCGGGATAATTTTGGATAAGGCACCAATTTAGATGACCTCAGTGCGCAGTATTTTGATGCCGCCGTGGCACAGCGCCCTCCCCGAAACGAAAGTCGCGGGAATAGCCGCGGGTCAGGAAATGAAGAATTCTGTTTTCGCTGGAACTTTAACCCAACTGGTTGCCCAAATCCACAGTCGTGTCGTTACAAGCACGTTTGTATTCACTGTTCCTCTACTCAGCATAAGGGCAAGAGTTGTTCGGGTTCCGCGAACGCTGAGAAAAGCAAAAAATGAACCGATTCTTTAGAACAGTCCCCGCTCGAGGAAAATGTTCTGTCAGCACCCTTCGCGCATCCTACTTCAACAAATTTTTCTATACCCCCGCTTGAGGATTGCCCTTTACGTTTCCACGCTTGGGACAAGGAACTTTCTGACGACCCCGATAGAATTTTTATCCTCCGTGGTTTGCGTTTTGGTTTTAAGCTTCTTCCAGAGTCCGACCCTTCTTGTATCGTCGCCTACGAATCCGACAATTACTCTAGTGCTACTTGCCCAGACTCCCGGGGGGGGTACTCCCTAATATGGGCTATATAGGTATGTGCGGCCCCAAAGGGTAGGGTTTTTCAGCTGTTTTGGTCATAAATTGGGTATCGATTTTGGCTATTTTGCCGCCATTTTGGTCATAAATAGGGTAACGATTTTTACACTGTAGTCTTGAATGCACTTTTTAAGAAGAAGCTACTTCCTTATCATGTCCCCCTAACCTAATAAAAGCAGATAAACATTGCCTTTAACATTGGTCTGAACTAGGGAAATAATTATAAGGCAGGTCTGAAACAGGGTATTGATTTAAGGGTCAGGTCATAAATAGGGTATCAAATTTTTGGTTTGGTCATAAATAGGGTAGGGAAAATCGCAGATTTTGGTCATAAATAGGGTAAGGGTTTTGGGAAGCGGGCCGCACACCCCTACCCAATTTTTCTGCGAGTACCCCCCCCGGGCCCAGACTTTAAACCGAAAATGGATAGTTTATTCACAAAAGAACTCGCCTTAGGGCGCATCTCTATGGTTCAAACTAAACCGCGGTGCGTTCACCCTATTGGCCGTGTACCGAAAAAGGACTCAGGAAAATCCCACCCAATTACTGACTGCAGTCGTCCGCATGGTATTTCTTTGAACGATCCTATTAAGCGTGAGTTAGAGTCCTTTCGCATGAATTCAATTGACAGCGCGGTGTCATTTTCTACACCTTATTGTTTTTACTCGATAGTTGATATCGAATCTTCTTGGCGCTGGATCCCGGTTTTCCCCCCTAACCGAGAATTACAAGGTTTTCGCTGGATGTTTGGCACACACGACTCTTCCCAGTAAAATTATTACGTGGACAACAGACTTTGTTTCGGTCTCTCGCGCGCACCGTTCATTTTCAACCGTATCTCTAACGCTATTGTTCGCATGATGGCTCGCCGTGGTTTTCGTGCTGTGGTTAATTATCTGGCTGATCCATCTCGTTAACACTTTCTCACACAAGGCTTCTGCCTCCAAACGTCAATTGCAGTCCCTCGCGGGATCTTTGAACTTTGCGAGCCAAGTTGTCGATGGTGGTCGCACATTCCTCCGTCGCGTGATTGACTACTTAAACAAATTAAATCACTCTTCTCATCGGTGTCGTTTATCAACCGATCTCCGCGCAGATGTGTCGTGGTGGAAAGAATTTCTCGTCACGTTTAACGGGCGCCGCATGATGCTCGATTTTCGCCAGCCCGTTTATATTCAAACGGGCGCGTCCTTTCACGGTTTTGGAGCCGTCCCGCCTGACGACTGGTTTGCTGGCTCCTGGGCCCCTTCACGAGAGAGCGATCTTTACTCCTAGTCATTGCCATCCCATTGGTGTGATGACGGTCACGCTATTGATTCATCACTTCGTTGTAATATCAATTATTTGGAACTCTTTCCGGTTCTCTTTCCGTAACCTCTTCGTCACGGGAGTTATTCTGGCTTAGTGTCCGTCACAACTTTCATCTCCGCGCGCGCCACTTGGCTGGAATAAATAACGTTTATGCGGACAGATTGAGTCGTCTTTTTCAATCTCGGACATTATCTAACGACATTTTCTCTCCCCTCTAGGATACCTCACGCAACTGGATTTCCGGGCCAAGTTTGTTTCTGCTGCGGCATATGCACATTCTACGTTCAACACTCGTCGCTCTCAATGGCGCTCCTATCTTCGGTTCTGTACTACTTATCACCTGGTTCCCATCCCAGCCGAGGTGCAAACAATTATTCGTTTTCTAATTCACTTGTCTTATTATTGCAAATATTCTACAGTAATCAACTACTTATCTGCTATTAATATTCTTCACCGACATTTTGGCTTCAACGTCACGTTTCAGGAAGTGTTTTCTATCAAACTTATCTTACGCGGACTTCGGCGCATTCTTGGTGACGCCCCAGTTCAAAAACTTCCCATCACCCCAGATATTCTTTTGCGGCTTCACCCTCAGTTCACAGCACGATCTGACTCAGGCTTCTGGGCAGCGATGCTAATCGGGTTCTACACTTTCTTTCGTAAATCAAATCTCGTGCCCAAATCAGAGAAGGATTTTGATCCCGCCAAGAATTTATGTCGCCGCGACATCATTGTCAGACCGTGGGGTTTGGTTATCTGCGTTCGTTGGTCAAAAACGATTCAATTCCGAGAGCGTCAGTTGCTCATTCCCGTTTTGCGGGTCTCCCACGGTCACCATCTCTGCCCCGTGCAGGCATATGAACGTCACATTTTACAATTCCCGGTCACCCAGCCTTCGCCTGCTTTCCTGCATTACAGAAAAGGTCACGCCACTCCCATTACACACTCCGCATTCACCGACAAATTGCGGAAGGTTCTCAGTCACGCAGGCTTCCCAGCCAAAAAATTCTCGGGCCACAGTTTTCGCCGTGGTGGAGCTTCCTACGCCTTCCGTTGCGGTGCTCCCGTAGAACGTATCAGTCTCCAAGGGGACTGGTCTTCGAACAACCTCATCCCCAGGGATTTTCCCTTAAAAAATGGTGGTCTTCGAATGCTGTTTTGCTTTATATCGCACAACCACTTGAGCGGCGGCTCTCAGTGGCGAAATTGATTGTCCAAAACTTTGACTATACATAACTTTTATCTTTAATTATTATAAAATTTTTCTTTCCCCTTTCCCCTCCCCACGTTTTTATTTTTTTTTTTCGGATTTTCTTTGTCTGG